GCGCGGGAGCGGCTCGAGGCCCAAGTTTCCGTGCAGTTGGGGTGAATTCGCAGAACAAACCCGCACAGTCGCTCGTTCCACCCGTGGACGCTGTCATTACGACGACATGTACTTTCCCACCTGTTATTTATTTTCCTAAATGTATGGAATTCTAGTTTGTCCCTGAATACACCTGCAGCTAATTAGAAAGAAAATTATTTACTAAAAGTATTTTAATGTTAAGAGCTTGAAATAATCACTTAAACTTTCCATATTTATATTCCAATTCCCCCTTTTATTCAATCAACACTGACCTTCATTTCATGGAATTTATTATTCGATATATATTTGCAAAGGTCTATTGTGGAAAAAAAAGTTCAGAAAGAAAATCTCCGTGGCTGTAAACTTTGTAGTTTTACTTTCTTAAAAAAGTAACAGAACCAAAAAAGTACAGAAAAAATGTCAGTGACAAAAATATCTTATAGTTCTGTGTTGAAGTCAAATTTAGTCTTTAACTTGAAAAGTATCCATAGAACCCCAACAAAGTTCACACTTTTAAAGCAAAGTGTCAAAAATTACATGACAAATCAGAATGGTTTTCCCCCAAACCCTAGCATCAAGCATCAAGCATCTTAGACAGTTTAGCACCCCAGGACTAAATTACACCTGGCACTGGAAGCACAATTTCTGGTTGGAATGAAATGTAAAACAAATAAAAAAGAAAAGCCACAGATGGAGTGAGAAAGTATAAGGGATCCTAAGGTTTCTGAAGGTATTATCAACTTCAGGAGATTATTGTAATATTATGTCCAACGTAACTGATGCAAAGACTCAGCTAAAGTATTTCTTGCCTGGCCTAAGTGACACAGGACATAAAGAAACTAGTTCCTAGATTTCGCTGTGGCCAGTCACCCAACGACAGAGCTAGTGGCAAGACACTCGCTATCCTGGATGATTTGAAAGGGATAGGGGAGTTCTGTAGCAATTCATTTTGCTGAAGGAGTCATCGTTTCAATCAGCTGCCTTTATTTATTTATTTTTATTTTTTGACAGGCAGAGTGGACAGTGAGAGAGACAGAAAGGTCTTCCTTTGCTGTTGGTTCACCCTCCAATGGCCGCCGCGGCCCGCACACCGTGCTGATCCGATGGCAGGAGTCAGATACTTCTCCTGGTCTCCCATGGGGTGCAGGGCCCAAAGACCTGGGCCATCCTCCACTGCACTCCCGGGCCACAGCAGAGAGCTGGCCTGGAAGAGGGGCAACCGGGACAGAATCCGGCGCCCCGACCGGGACTAGAACCTGGTGTGCCGGCGCCGCAAGGCGGAGGATTAGCCTAGTGAGCTGCGGCGCCAGCCTCAATCAGCTGCCTTTAAAACGAGCTTCTAATGCCTTGTAGCCTTCGGATAACTCCAAGTAGTTTTAAATACTGTGTTGGCAGTCACACTGGGAAAAACTGGCTAGAATGGAGAGTCTATTTCAACTGGCACATGAACTTCATTGCCATCAAAGTAAGTGATGTTACTACAGGGGCTGGCACTGTGCCAGAGCAGGTAAAGCTGCCGCCTGCAGTGCCAGTATCCCATATGGGCACTGGTTCGAGTCCTGGCTGCTCCACTTCTGACCCAGCTCTCTGCTATGGCCTGGGAAAGAGTAGAAGATGGCCCAAGTCCTTGGGCCTCTGTTCCGCGAGGGATACCTGGAAGAAGCTCCTGGCTCCTGGCTTTGCATCAGCACAGCTCTGGCTGTTGAGGCCAATTGTGGGGTAAACCAGCGGAAGGAAGACCTCTCTCTCTCTGCCTCTCTGCCTCTCCTTCTCTCTCTCTGTAACTCTTTCAAATAAATAAATCTTTTAAAAAATTATGTTACTACAAAATGGCATTTGAAGAGCAAGCAAGCCGCATTGATGTATGATTTCATTCAGACTGATCCCTGACCATGTAGAACAAAGCTCTATAAGACACTGCTTTACTGCTCAAATCCCTTTCCTCATAGAATCACTACAAATTATTAACACTTCATTTCTAAATTAGATTATAAATTCAATAAAAATGTGCTTATTACCTTGTCTCCCACCTTCTAAGCAACCCTTAACATTTATTGTTTCCAGTAACCTTACACTTCATGCACTCTGGAGTCAACTGGATCTAAGTTAACTAAAATTAAAATTGCCTCTTAAGAAATCACATCTGCAGGAAAATCTCTGCTTTGCAAGCACCCCTTTGTTTTCCCTCGAGGCCTTGCAGTTTTGTGAGTATCGTTATCAGCCTGTTTTATGGCTAAATCTGTCTTCATGTGAGCAGACATTAAACATCGCGTGACACATAACGGACATGGAAACAAACAAGGGCAGCGTTGCACAGAGACCTCTTCTCTCTGGGGTCCTGTGCTAGCCACCAGCAGGGGACACGCGCGGTCACAATGCACCACGCTCAGCCATCTGTCCCCAGCCAGGGGAAGCCGCCGGGAGCTCGCCCAGCTCCAAGGCAGGTAGCTCCGTGTGCCCGCCCACATCCCTGCTGCTTCTGCAGTGGCGAATTATTTTGCTTTCCCTTCTCCTGTGGCACTTCTGGCCCACGCAGGGTCGTACGCTCTCAGGTTTCCATCCCAGCGGCCGACACGCTTCCGCCACGAGTAAATGATCTCGCCCAGGTACTCTGGGATGAAAGCGAGCGGACGCGCGTGAAGAATTATATTTTGATTTCTTCCCTTTGGAGGGAGTGTTCTGCAACTTTGGTGTTTAGCTTGGAGGGCTCCTTTGACTGAGCTCCTCTTCGGAGTCGGCGCGCCGGCCGCGCAGGTGGCAGCCTCTGGCCGTGCAATTCGATTTGGAAGGTCAGCGAGGCTCAGCTGGAACGTCCCTGCAGTGAGATCTCCCCTCCGGAAAGTTTCAGTTTGAAATTCCTGGCTCCTGGACAAACAAGCTGCAGGGAGACCCAGCGCTGAGCGGCAGCGTGGCCGAGGAAGGATTTCTAACCACTGCAATGAAACCTTGCAAACGGTCGGCTTCCTAACTTCCCTGGGTGCCACCCAGACACACGGTGTGCTGGGCAAGTTCCAACTTTCAACACCTTTCATATTATTCTAATGAAAACCACTTGCAATTCTAGCCTTTGAGGTTTGGGTGCCTCCTAAGCAGTCCTCTGGGTCAGGATTTACAGGATGGCAAAAGAACAGTGAGCTGCACACGGTGCTGACGATGTTAGAAAAAGATAGCTAAAGCCTGTCAGACGTCTGCATTGTGATGGGCAGCCTGCCAATTTCTTTGGAATTCCTAGCATTTATGGATGTGGCATTGACCCAAAGCATCATTCCTAAGGTTTTGATTCCTACTAAGTCTAAACCGACATAAGAATTCAATTGCTTGGGGCCAGTGCCATGGTGTAGTGGGTTAATCCTCCGCCTGCGGCGCTGGCATCCCATATGGGCACCAGTTCAAGTCCCGGTTGCTCCTCTTCCAGTCCCGCTCTCTGCTGTGGTGTCGGAAAGCAGTGGAGGATGGCCCAAGTGCTTGGGCCCTGGCACCCACATGGGAGACTGGGAAGAAGCACCTGGCTTCTGGCATCGGATTGGCGCAGCTCCGGCCATTGCGGCCAATTCAGTGAACCAGTGGATGGAAGACCTCTCTCTCTGTCTCTCTCATTGTCTGTAACTCCACCTCTTAAATAAAAAATACATAAAATCTTTAAAAAAAAAGAGTTCAATTGCTTTATTTGAAGTGTCCTCATCTTTCTATTCTGTTTATACACACACACACACACACACACACAAATGGGTTGATAAAGAAAACCAAGCTATTTTAAAATAACATTTTTCTTTATATATTATTCACAAACATTGCACCCTCTATATTCAAGCCCCTGAAGAACTTATATACAATGTAAAATTCTCATTTTATAGCTCTTTCAGATTATGAAGGAGTCAAACTTATCCCACTGATAGAGCTATGTGAGGAGTTTTTTTTTTCTTCCCTTTATACAAATGCATTTTTTAGAAACTTTACTTTTGGAGGCCTGGGTGCTGAGATTGGGAGCGGGGAGGCAAGGCCCATGGAATCCGCCATCTACATAGGCACGGAGCCTCAGAATACACAGAGTGGCTTTTCCGGCTCTAAACCAAGGAGAACATCTATGGTAGACCCTCAGGGAGGTTTAAAATTTGACAGTTTATTTAAACCAGGAAGCCTCTCTGTCTGACTTCACACTTCTGCAAGGAGGGTGCACTATGAGTAACTCCACACACCGTGCACATAATAACAGAACCACGCCGGCACTGGAACTTCCAGACACCTGGCCGGCTGGAGCATTCCCGCTGCAACTGAATTCCCACGCCGCTCAGCCGTACACCTCGCCCCTCGTGTGCCTGCCTGGACTGCCCCAGTGGTGTGGCAGCGAGCGCTTTGCTAAGGGAGCCGTGGAAAAAAGAGATGGAGAAGCAGCGTGCTGCATTTTCAGTGAGGTTCTCAGCACCTCGGCCAACGAAATGGAATCAAAGTGAAATCTAGGTCAGACTCTGCCATCCCAATATGTTTATTTAGGGACCGGTTTGAGCCAGCCCATGCCCACGGTGCACATTCTAGATGAACAAGAATTTGATAAATAGCTTTCGAGTTCTCCATGGGGATGGCTTTTTGCTGAATTCTACCAGTAGCATGGAAAGGAACCCAAAGGAAAGAACATTAAACACCCGCTAAGAATCGTGTTAAGATGGGTTAACTCCTCTGCGTAGGTTTTCATGCAGAATTCAGAACTGCACTGAATGGCACTGAACACAATGTCCTTCCCCACGTACTAAGGGACAATTTGTTTTTCCAGAATGAGGCACATGTACTTCATAGCATCTGTACTTATCTTAACTCCAGACACCAACACAGCATGGCTCGAAACTTAGTAGCATTGCTCCCACCACCAGGCAATAGAAGGGGTCTGACAAGGCACAGGATGTATGGAAATGCCTGAAGAATGTAAGTAAAAGAAGTTGCAACATCATTCCGATCACCCCGATGTTGGTGGCCAAGATAATTACCAATCAGAGTGGAGGTGAAGGAGGAGCCGGGGTCGAACGGGCACCTGCCCCTTCCTCGCTCAGACCGGTGCGATTCCAGGTGAAACCGGGGGTCCTTGAAAGAAAACCAGAAAAGCCATTGGAGATGCGCTGACAGCAATCAGAACTCCACCGTCCAGACACAGCACGCTGCACCACGGTTACTGAGGAGACATGGATTCCCAACAGGGCCCCGGCCACCGCAGCTCATCATTTAGGGACGCGCTGACTTGTGTGGGTTCTGCAGACCTGCGGGGACCCTCGCCCCTCTCAGAAAGTGAGCAGGTGGGGACACGCCAGTTTTATCACTCGGTCAGGCAGCGCTGGCTGTTCTGAGATGTGCCAGTTAGATTTTCCAGAAGAACTGGAACTTGTTGGAAAAAGGTTCCTAAAAGTGAGATCGAATGATAACACGGAACTGGGGCTTTGCTTTTAGAAATTCCATTATGGGTTTCTGTTCACTAACCTGGAAAAGAACAATGATCAAATTCACTATCAATACTATGAAATATTTATTTTAAATAATTTGTACTCTTTATCACAGATTCTTTTTATAAACATCCAAATATTTAATCATTTAGAAAAATATTAATGCATAACTACTGTGCTGTTTATCAAAAATGCCATATGTATGCTATTTTAATTTTAGTATCTGGCTTCATAAAACTAAGATCTTAAAAATAAATATTTCCATAAAAATCCGTTACTTTATTGGCTATTTCAAGCACATAACCATAGAAGTTTTCCTGATTGTTTGCAGATATCAAAATGTTCATAAATGGATTTCTCTTTTATCATTCATCTCCATTAAATGTGCTACAAGTGAGTTAGGGAAACAAAAGATCCATTCAGAGAGGTAGCAACAACAATCAGTACTGACGACGTTCTAGAAAACCAGCAATCTGCAGTGGGATATCGCTGCTACTGCCCACTGAGGCACGCGGGAGCCGTGGACAACCCTGCACATCCCAGCGGTGCTCCGCAGGGCGAGGGCTTGGGGGCGACTCCGATGTCACCTCGGTTCATGCGGTCTGTTCTTTGGTTATTCTTTTTTTTTAATATTTGTTTATTTTATTTGAAAGACAGAGGGAGACACACAGAGAGATCCTGCATCTGTTGGTTCACTCCCCCAAATGGCTGCAATGGGCCAGGGCTGGGCCAGGCTGAAGCCAGGAGCCAGGAGCTTCTTCCAGGTCTCCACGTGGGTGCAGGGGCCCAAGGACCTGAGTCATCTTCTACTGCTTTCCCAGGCACACTAGTAGGAAGCTGGATGGTAAGTGGAGCAGCTGGGACTCGAACAGGCACCCATGTGAGATTTTGGCACCGAAGGCGGAGGCATAACCTGCTGCACCACAGCGTCGGTCCCTGTTTGGTTATTCTTAAACAACACGCATCCCCATTCTCTCTGTGACACCCTAAAATCATCCTCCCAATCCTGCCAGGTCAGAACTTCCCAGTAAAGGCTGATTTTCTGGCCCTTCTCTCTCTCTGGAACAGCCTGCAGACCAAACATGGCCTCTTCATCCAGGTGGCTTCCTTTGTGAGCCAAAAAAAAAAAAAAAAAAGTTGCACCTGTTTGGAACTACACACAAATCAGGGGGCTCACGAGGGGCAGTAAATCACTTGGGAGACGCTGGTGCTCATCCCACAGGTGACAATTTGCAGTGACATGAAAGAGAAAGTACGTCCGAATGAGAAAGAGCTACGGCCCACCCAGCTAACGCTTAGCACTGAAGGAATTCCACCGAAATCTGCAAAACCAGCCAGGAGCATCCCGCAGAGGAGAGAGTGCAGAGGTGCACGCGTGGCGTTTTGTAAGGTACTTGAGAAGGCTGTAGACAGGGTGCACACCTCATAGCTGCGTGAGCACAGCCAAGTATCAGGGTCACAGAGAGCTGGTGGAGACACAGATGGGGCTGCTTCCTTCCATCAGGACGTCTGACAAGTTAAAAATTCTGCGACACAACCTGGGATCTCTAACGACTGTCAAGGCTGTTTCCTCTCATGCACTTAGACATCTTAAACACTAAAACCGAGCACACAAGAGCAGAAAGCGCACTAATTATTCACTCCAGCAAGGTTAATACATTCATTCAAATTTAAACCATCCAGGGAGTAAAACCGATAGAAGATGGAAATGAAAGGAATTCCAGGATCGAGAGAATCCCAGAGTTAGAGGAAAGACAGAAAGCGACAATGGCTCAGTCTAGCGTGGGTTCCGCAACCGCCAATCACCATCTCGGTTTCCAAGGCTGCTGTTGGTCTGTGAATTTCTGCACGTGTCTGGTGCAGGGAGTCTGGCATCTCAGTGTGTTCAACCTTCAAGAGGAACTGATAGAGTTGAGAAGAAACTACAGTTACCAAGAATCCTGTAACCTCAACCTTGTGAAAACGGTCGAGTGGAACCCGGCATCACCCAGAGTTCTGAGTTGTGCTGGAGGCACGACTCTGTGCAACGCCTACACCTGCTTGAGTCTGAAAGGGAATCATCGTTCAGGAACCCTCAGATTTGGAACCGGGAACGCGGGAACCCTGAGTGTTCACCGTGTTGCTAGATGTCTACACCGCAGGTCAAACCGCACACTACCCAGGCTGAACCCGTCTCACCTTTCCCCAGAAGCCCTCAAACACCGACCTCACATCTATTTGATTAATGTTAAAACCAGGTCAACAAGCAATCGCTTAAAAATAATAAGCAAGTGAAACTTTTTTTGGTCTACTTTTGGCCTCCCGACTAAAAGTCTATATTCTGAATACCTTAACGGGCAGGCGTATTAAGCATGTGTGTGCTCTGCAGTGTTTGACTTCCCAGCCCGCCACTGATTCGGGGCATCACTGCGTTAGGTAAGTGCCACCTGCTTCATGTGCAGAGAGAAGCAAGCTCCCAGCCTCTGAAGGGCCCACGCTTCTCACGCATACAGGGCGGCAGGTATTGCCCCAGGAGCCAAATACCCAGAGCTGGCAGCCGGTGCCAAGTGAGGTTGCAGGCGCAGATGCTTCCTCAACTGGAAGACTATCAGACCGCGTTCTGAAGCCTCGAATCATTGTAACAAAGTAACAAAGCTGCTCTGAATGTGTGAGAAGTCTACAACCCACCTCCGCAGTGCACTGGAGTTCTTTGGCCCTGTCTCTTGCCTTGATTTACTGGGAGGTGAATATTTTCATAAAATTTTAAATTTTAATTAGTTTTTAACAGACTCAACGTGCTTTGTGGATGCAATTCTAGGAACAAGATGATACTCCCGTCTTCCCTCCCTCTCCCCCGCTCTCTTCCACGCCCCTTCCTTCTCCCTTCCTTTTCAGTTTTTGAGCGAACATATTTTAAATTTTTTTTCAGTAAAAAGGCTTACCTCTTCTCCGAAGGAGAAGTTTAACAAGCAACAAGACCCTAGTCTAGCGGGAACAGAGACGGCAGCTATGAGGCAGGTGAGCATCTGAATGACCGCATTGTGGTGTTGTTATGTCACACGGTACACGAAGCTCCACATTGCTTTAAGGAGTCAACATGGCTTGTCTCTCTGCAGGAGTGTAACATGGTTCTGTCTGTATTCTTTATTGGAATCATGGTGTACGCCTTTAGAATAGTAATTTTGTATCTCTGCTTTTTATACTTTGAATTATTAACTTAAATGCAGTTGTGAGACCAGTTTTTACAAGGCCATTATCACGCTTTTACTAAAGTGACCTTGACAGCGCTATTCGAGGGCTGACAGCTTTCCTACGAGTGACCCGAGCGCACAGGCCAGACAGCAGCACTGGCTTCTTCACCTTGGGTTATCATCGCGGACGCAGCCTCTTTGTGGATATAACTCCCAGTTGCACCACCACGACTCCAGTGCCTGCCTGCGACAAGTGTATGAGTGTCCTCAACTTGACACATTATGTGCAGTCATAACCTTAAAGTGCACTGGGTAGACAGTCTAGAGGAGTTCAAACAGAAGAATACTGGGGAAGGAAAGTAAAATTATCTTCCACTCATTAAATTAATGCTTAATGACATTCTTTTTTTTTTTTTTTTTTTTGACAGGCAGAGTGGACAGTGAGAGAGAGAGACAGAGAGAAAGGTCTTCCTTTTTGCCGTTGGTTCACCCTCCAATGGCCACCGTGGCCGGCGCGCTGCGGCCGGCGCACTGCGCTGATCCGATGGCAGGAGCCAGGTGCTTCTCCTGGTCTCCCACGGGGTGCAGGGCCCAAGTACTTGGGCCATCCTCCACTGCACTCCCTGGCCACAGCAGAGAGCTGGCCTGGAAGAGGGGCAACCGGGACAGAATCTGGTGCCCCGACCGGGACTAGAACCCGGTGTGCCGGCGCCGCTAGGCGAAGGATTAGCCTAGTGAGCCACGGCACCGGCCAATGACATTCTTTTAAAAAATCAGTCCATGGTTAAGGCCAATCAAACCAAGGAGAGTTTATCTTTCTTATGAACACACTAAAACAAAGAATCCCATTTTTAATCCACTGATCTTTGCTAATAACAAGAATTATATTTCTGGGTCCAGCATTTCTGTGACGTAGCGGGTAAAGCCGCCACCTGCAGTGCTGGCATCCCATACCGGCGCCGGTCCGAGTCTTGGCTGCTCCACTTCTGATTCAGCTCTCTGCTATGGTCTGGGAAAGCAGTGGAGGATGGCCCAAGTGCTCGGGCCCCTGCATCTGCGTGGGAGACCTGGAAGAAGCTCCTGGCTCTTGGCTTCGGAGCTGTGCAGCTCTTGCTGTTATGGCCATTTAGGGGGTGAACCAGTGGATGGAAGACCTCCCTCCCTCTCTCTCTCTCTGTCTCTGCCTTTCAAATAAATAAATAATTTTTTTAAAAAAAGAATTATAATTCCAATGAGTGAATTGTGACAGGAACAAGTTCAGAAAGATCATTTCTACTGGAGACACCATGAACATGAAAACCACATTTCTGGCCCCATTTTATTGCTCCTCTACAATCTTCCCACCATGGCTTCCGGAATCCGTCTCCAGGGTAAATAAACTTCGAAGACGAAGTCAGCTTACAACACGCTTCCCAGCCCTCCGCCTTAATTGGGTCGCAGCTCCCGTCAGAGCAGAACGGTGCTGAAACAGACTCCG